TATAATATAAATGAGAGACTTATCAAATAATTGCTTGATCGAGTTTTTTAATACAATAGTTGCTAATTTTCTTTTCAGTTTGTAAAAAGATCTTGTCACTAATAGTAAAAATGACAAATGAAAGAAACCAATAAAATAAACTGCGGAAGCATAAAATTTATATATAGGACTACCCGTATATGATAAATAACGAATATAATGGCTCCGCCGAATACGAAAAAACAATCCGTTTCTTAGAGTTAGGTTGCAATTGTGGTTGTTCGAAAATGATTCCGAGAGAAAAATTTGCCGAATTACGTGAAGTGTTTCAAGCTCTCTCTAGATCTGAACAAGATATATTTTTAATGGCCCAGTTGAAAGCAATGAATGGAGGAGAAATAACTGCCAGCCGACGTCTTAAAAAGAAAACGCGTACTAATAAGAGAACTTTTTTATACTGAGATCGCAATACGCCTCTATGTCAAAAAACGTATCTCAATATGTTGGGAATTGGCCGCACTCACTTCGAAATGTCAGAAACCATCTAGCAACGAATGGCATAATACCACGCGTTCATGGTAACATAAAACGAGTACCGCGATGAAAAACCAAAATAATCATTGATATAACCATTGCTGCTGCCGTGAAGAATTTTCTCGAAAACTATGCGGAAATTCATGGATTACCAAGTCCTGGTAGAAACGTCAATCGAATTACCCAATCGCTTACACTATTGCCAGCTGAAACGAGTTATAAATCGGTCTATCGTGATTTTATTGCAGGTCTCGAAAACGATAGCACGTTGAAATTGTTAAAATACGATGCATTTCGCAAGTTATGACACCAATTAATGCCTTATATTCAAATTATGAGTCCAAGAACGGATTTATGTGACACGTGCCAACATTTTCGGAATGGCTTACAGTATAATCCTCGCAAGGAAGAAGAAGCGAAAGATTTATTGAAAAAATATAAAGAACATTTAGTTAAGGCTAAATTAGAGAGAAATTATTACAACAAAAATACGAAATTAGCAGAACAACAAAGGAAATTGGTAGACGATAATTACGTTGTAACAGGGGGTAAAGCTGATTATTGTAGCCTTGACGCGACTGCTCATTACAGTTACGATTGAGCGCAAAATGTTCACGTACCCCATTCCGATCAACAGGTAAGTTATCTCAGGTGCATTTATTTGGTATCCAAGATGAAGCAGTACGCGAACAAATTAATTACGTTCTCGATGAAGACGAAATTATCGGCAAAGGCCTTAATGGCACACTAAGCCTGGTCTTCGATGGAATTAAGAAATTGAATAAAGACGAAAAACATTTAAAAATTACTTGCGATAAGGCGGGCGGGCAGAATAAAAATAATACTACCATTTGATTTTACCTGTATTTAATAATTTGCGGTTATTATGAAACTATCGAATTAAATTTTATGGTACCTAGACATACTAAATTCAAGTAGTTTCGGACTGATTAAAAAACTATAGAAAAACGACCGTAGACTGTGTAGATCATATTGTTGAGGTTGTGAAAAGATCGAGTACAGCGGGATTAAACAAAGCTCAGTGTTATGAGAACGGCAAAGGTTCTCAGTACTTGGATCTTAACTCTGTGTTGGGGATTTTCTTTAAGAAATTGAGTGGTTTACAAAAATATCAGCATTTTATTTTTGAGGTAGCTAATCCTGGAGTTGTCAAAGCTCAGCTGGTTGCTAATGGTGCTTATACAGAATTTAATTTATTGAAAACCCGAAAGGCGAATTTTTCTGACATTACAAAGAAATTAGATTCTTTTACATTCTAGTTCTAACCCCCGCTCTTTTAGATTATAAAAGACAAGAATATCTTTATCATAAAATTCGCCCATTTGTTAGAGATGAATTTAAAGACATTACTTGTCCCAAACCAATACAAAATGTAATTGAGTAATTTTATTCTAAATCAAGAAAAGCGTTAGATGACATAGTTAACTCTTATTTTTCTTAATTCTAACTAATTTAATAGCCAGGATAACTAAAATAAACAACAATACGCCACAGCCAGCCATTCAATAAGTCTTTTCTCTCTTATTTTTGTTAAGTTGGTTTTCTAATTGAATCCGAGAAATTTTATTCCATTTTCTATAATAAGCCTCTGGGTCTCTTATTTTTTCGGTCATTCTTTCACCTTTCATAGTGTCTCGGAATTGATTATTTCTTATAGGTCTGTAATGTCTTCAAAATTTTTTCATAAAAAATCTAGGAAGAAGTAATATTGAAAATTCAGAAGCGGGATAAGTTTCATTATAATTTGAAGAAAGTTCTCCTTCTTTTCTCAGAATTTTTGCAGCTTCTTCTTTGAGTTCATATTTGATAGTAAAACCATTAGTTAATGATGCAAATTCCATTTTTTGTATAAGTTCTTGACAGATTTCTCCAATTTGGTTTCAGGTTTCTTGATCTATAGTATTAATATCACTAGGCAAATGATTTTTAGTAAAGATAGTTATATTTTCTAATTTAATGTGTAATTTGACAATAATTTTACTCTTTTGCAATAATAATATTATTATTGATTACTTGGAAGAATTTATTTATTGCTTCAATTGCTTTTGGAGGAGTCACTTTAGATTCTGAATTTTTTGAGATTCATATACTTTCTTGTTCTTTCTTGTATTTAGAAACTATTCATACAGTGGCAACCAAAAGTAATGACTCAGAGATTAAATTTATTAATAAAACATAGTAAAAGTTGAAATTTTCTCTTTATATTAAAATTTATAATTTTATTAAAAAATAATTTTTATTTTATATTAAAATAAAGTTTATCAGTTGTAGTTTAACATATATTTTTTCAGATTTTTTCTGAAAGAGTTGTTCTAATTATAAAGTTTTTGCAAAAATTTTTACTAATTAATAAAAATTTTTGCACTAACTTTATAATTAGAGTAACTCTTTCAAAAAAAATCTAAAAACTAAAAAAAATATATGTTAAACTACAGCTAATAAACTTTATTTTAATATAAAAATAAAAATTATTTCTTAATAAAATTATAAATTTTAATATAGAGAAAAAATTT